TAACTTATCAAGGGTTTATGAGAGGGCAGGCAGGTGGGGGAGGGAGAAATAGGATGGGGCTCAAGTGGGAAGAGAATGCTTTGAAAATGCTGATGGCGACATATGCGCAGATGTGCTTGACACACTGGAGCATTGTATGGATTGTTATGAGCCCCAAGTTGTTTTAAAGAAATCTAATGTTTGAGACCAACTGAAAATAGGTATGTGCATTATAAAGTGGTAATTGCTTCATTGCCACAATTACTCATATCAATCTCATTCAAGAGCTAAACAGAGAACACAAGTGAAGCCAGCTGTAAAGCAAATTTGTCAGCCTTAAAACAAGCCCAGGTACTGTGGACCAATTGAAGAGTTGGGTGACATGTAGAGGGTGCTGGCATGTTGTCAAAGTACAAGGATCTAAGGAAATGTTTATTTCAAATCAGTGCATCCCTGGAAAAACCACCTCAAAACTGCAGGAAGTCTAGAACAGAACATTCTTAGGGTTTTTGAACCATGTTACCCTCTTCCCTTCCTGGCTTTTGTAAAGACCAGCACAGCTTGAGAACACAAACTACCTTGTTTAGATGCCTTTTTCAAATGGCCTGATAGCAACAGCAGGGGGAGTCATCTATCCTTTTCCAATACTCCCCCCACTAAAGGTTAGCTCCCCAACCTCCACTGGCTTCTGGATACTAGCTGTTCTGTAGTGACTTTCCAGGTAGGTCCTGTTGTCCCTCCTGAGAGCCTAGCCTTTTTAAAGATTTAGACACAAGCAAGCGCTGGGTGGTAATAAAGAATCCCACTCTCTCAGATACCAAAGATGAGATCTCTGCTTAAATGTGACATGCAACCAGTGTTAAAACTCCCAGGTGTGATTTACCTATAAGCTTGTGAGTCAGACTTAGTTACTAATTCAGTAAATTTAAGTTCTTCCTGGTTGAGACTTAAATACAACCACCAATCCCATTTACTGAACCAAAGTCCAAATGAGTCCCAAGATCTGTGACCAGCTCAAACTTCTCACAATCCCCCAAACTAAACCCCAAAGCAAAACGAGAATGACCCCAGTCCAAAAAAAATCTTTATGTTCCTTTATTGGAGCAAGATTCCTGACCAGTACAGTGATGTATTTACTAAATATAGAGACCTGTGCAGAGAAATTACATACTATCCATCTAAACAAGTCTTGTTACACTTTGCTTCTTTGATGGAATAGTTCCATTTATAAAGTTTTATACAACAAAAAACTGAATTTGCCCAGGTTGGCCATTGATTCACTTTTGAAGGTGGCATCAATTTAGCTACTATATTTTACAGCATTAAAAAAAGCTTATGCATTAGGTAGCTTCTCAAAAGGTTATATGCACAATGGCATTGAGTAGACTGAGCA